TAATTTCTTTATACATAGAAATATATATATATATATATATATATATATATATATATCGAAGTTATATGCTCAGCCTTGCGCTTAGACAACTCCTTCGTCCAGAAAATCTAGGAGGCTCTACAAGACCAGGCCTACCGATACGCACACTAAAACGTTGTCTGATGGGGTACTTGGTCAGTCAGTTTTGTTCGCACACCAGAGAGCTGGTGAACTTCGGATAAACACCCTAGCAAACTTACGTATGAAAATCTAGCTAACCAGATTATCCTTTTAGGCAATCGTAGGTGTACTGGCTTCCATGACATCTCGTGGATGAATTTGATCATGGTGCGGATGACTGAAGTTTGCTTTCAAAGACTTGTCGACTTAGCCATTTTTCCAACGTATACCAAACACAGTCGTTTTCTCCTGGTGGCATTGGAAACAATAAGACGGCTTGGATCAATGTGCTTTTTTGTACGAGTATGCTTAACTCAAATTCATATACCATCGGCCATTAGTGATGCGAAATGTGGCCCTACCGACTGGAATCTATCGCCACCGTTGTGACCATCAAGTACAGTCTTTGGGAGAACAGACCTTACACCTGTGGAACAGTCCTAGGAAAAGAAAATCCGTCATCACAGAGACGTTTGACAGGGCAAATCGACAATGGAAGAAATAACAATGGTCTACTTTCATGATACAACACCAGAACCATCTTGGCAGCCTAGGTTAGACTCACAAATGACCGCACAATCAACGGTGGAGTGAAGAGCACAGAGATCTCCGCAAATGATTCGTCTAACAAACCAAACGGGAGAGAATCACGATCAGACTCTGCTTTACGACAATCAAGTCATTATGGACAGTAAACCCTCCATTCGTCTCAAACATGACCTTTTTGTAACATTACGCAAAGGTTCTTTCATGTGGTCGCTCGTTCCACGTCAACTCTACCTCCTTAATGCGACTGTTCGCGTAGGTTACTGAGTCTATCGTAAACTGAGAACTATCTACACTTTTCTAAGCAATTTCCTTCGAGCTTGTGATAGACGTGTAAATGTTTGTTTGACTTATTGCATTTGAATTATGCGCTAACGCCTGTTGAGCGATGCACGAATATATTGACCTTTAGCCAATTTGTCTCGCCGACGCACCTGTTATTATTAGCAGATAACGTTGGGATATTTAACGCACCATGAAAACAAAAATGGCAGAAAATTGGATATCTTTTGCGAGAATCGCCCTCATGGATATAACCAACTGTGTTTGCAATAATGTTCAATTCTTTTCCCTTCGGACCAAAAACAGCACTAGTTTGGCAAAGACCAAACTAAACACTGCTAAAAAATGTTAAAACATTTTCAAAGCACAAAGTAAACTCTGCATACGTTCCCTTGATTAGTGAAGAACTAATCGCAATGTTACTGCTCTTGACAAAAAACTGGACAGACGTTATGCTGAATAGAGATTTAACAAGCAAAAACTTGTGGCAGAATTTGGACCATAGAACTCACATGGTGTCTCTGACTATGTCTAAAAATGCGCCTTAAAGATGAGCTTTCAGTGATGGCAAACATAAGCCCACAATGAATAATCTGAACAATTTTCTGTGACAGTAACGTTAACCCACTGGTTTCTAAACTGGATAAAATTTCGACTTTGTTTGTTCAGCGGATAAACCCCACAACCATGGTTACAGGATGGCTTCCGGAAACGAAACAATCACACTCACGAATACACTTAGATACACTGAAAATTTAATGGATTTTAGCCTCTAGCTAGAATGAAAGGGAAGCACCAAGATATGAACTATAATCAGTGTTCTGAGAAGCCGCAGCAACCGCAGTTGAAAGTATGTTATCTGGCATCTGGGTTACAGAAGGAATCGAGTCTGTCCGTGCGTGACTGAGAAACGAACGGAAGCGCAGAAGAACGTAAGTGCTTCCTGTTCCCCAGTGTTTAGGGTTCTTTTTAAAAGGCAGCAGTGACCTATTTTTATCAGTCATGTGCTCTTGAGAACACTCCCGAACCGCCCCACTCACATACCAGACGAACGCTATACTTACAGAACATATACTGGGCTACACGTGCAACCGAAACAGGCAAAAAGCAGGTAGCTTGGAGACACACTCAAGCATAATATGCTAGATGAACAATGTTCATATGGCGGGGAGTGTCTACAAGCCAACAAAAGAACGAATTTCTCTACCGCATGGAAAACAGACTGAATAGGCTTGCTAGCAGAAAAATGGAAAATATCGCGTACATTGCGAAGAAACTCTTCCCGTTTAATGTGTTCTTTTGAAGGGAATTATCAACAACAACTTGGGAATTAGCTGTGTCAATGAAGCTTAGATTGGGGTAGTAAAGTGGTAAGTATACGAGTTATCAAGTAAAGAGTGTGGGTTTTTATTAGGCAGTCGTATGATACGTCGTAGAATCTGAACTATTTGCTCATCATATTTGATCATTACGTTGTCAGCGCAGTCTAAAAGAACATGTGATAGATGGAACGCTTCAACGTTCACCACCCCACTACAATTTCACGGGTACCCTAATACGCAATACAACCTGTCGACGGCTGACCGTATTGCTAAGCTGGTTATATAATCGGCCTTGAGTTCACTTCTAACTGAATCTGTTTATGAATGTCACGGTACCTGAGGATTACCAAATGTTACCAGGCAGGAATAACATTGAAACTGAAGTGTTTGAGAAACTGATTTAGCTCGCTTTTCTTATCCTCGGCCATCAAAATGTTCATTTTTTTAATTGCTGGAGATCTGAAAATAAATGCTGTGAAACTCTAATTTACCGTTATCCACCTTGTTTGGACGAGACGGCCGTTTGTATTTTGAGAAACAGCTATGTATGCACCAGACTACGTGTGGTTATCATCTGGATTTCATTCAAAACACCCAGAACTCCAGGTAAACAAACCAAAAAGCAGGGTCTTCCTGTCGTTTACGTAAGTCTAAATTCGTAGGAGTGTAAAAAAATTGTCAGTTATCGCCTAGCTCCCAGTATATTAGTGTGTACAACACGAAGCATTGGTGGTTAAAATAGAGAACATTGAAATTCACTGCCTGTTCGACTCTAAAAGTTCAGCATTTCTCCATGACTGTGAATGAATACCGTGACTGAATTTCCTTGAAAAAGATGATTGCGAATGAGGCGCGAAGTTCTCTCCTCTAACCAACTGCTTTACTGTGGTCTTATACATCTAGGATCGTCCTATCACAAAAAAGTCCACCTTGTTAGGTTTTGAGGTTAATGCGCTGGGAAATACATCAATCTAAGTTTTTGGGGATTAATTCATGTTAAATTTGGGTGGCGAATTTAGTCATACAATGAAATCCAACATTACAGTGATCAAAAGAAACCTTGGTCAAGGGATATTACTCGGAAATGATTAGAAGAGCGGAGGGACTTATGGAGCGTTGTGTCATGCACTTGCTCGTATGTGGTTTGTTTAGGAGGTTTAAGGGTCATCTAAACGAGCGATTTACTCCTTTTGATGTAGCCCGGGGATGCTAGACGATAAGCATCGGTTGACTGACGGCAAATGTAATTGAAGATGTAATGTTCGTCGTCGCAATATTACAGTCAGAGCCATGTTG